AAAACTAACTAAACAAGAAAGTAGTAAAAAATTATGTGTAGCAAAACAATTTAATAAGAAAATGAAAAAAATAGAAAATATTAAATTAAAAAAGCATAAACAAGTACTTAAGTTTATACTTAGCGCATTTAAGTTTTAAATAAGATTTATACTAAGTTTACACCAGTTACAATTAAAATGTTTCAGCAAAAATTCAAATAACACAAAAAAGTAACTACATAAATTTAACTGAACAAAATTTCTGGTAAACAAAAATGGTTAAGAAATCGAAGCAAAATTGATATACATAAACTTATGTAGTTGTTGGTCTAAGAATGAATCGAAAGGAAAGCGGAGAAATAAGTGCATATAAAATGAACTACTGTAATTACTGGGGAGGGAAACGTGTGTGGTGATGATGGATATTTAAAAAATGCAACTGCAAAAGAAAACAACAACAAACACAAATTAACAATTAAGTTGTAACAAATTGAAAGTTAAGTGAAATAAGTATGGAAAACGAAATAAACAATGAATTTTAAAACACAAATAAAATGCTGTAATTTGCGTTGGCTTTGGAAATTAATGATTTGGTGAGTATAAAAATACGAGAGAAAAATTTTATTATTTAATTGAAGTTATATTAATTAATTCGTCATGGCCTGCACTGCATTTGAATACGCCATTCATTGAAATCGGGTAAGATTTGCAAGAAAAAAATTAGGTCGACCAACCTAGTGAGAAGCCGCGTTGTGCGATTTTGTCAGGTTCACGATTTCCACCAGGCCCGCAGAAGTACCTAGTATGCAGCTGCTGCGATGAAAAATCTGTCAAGTGTTGCATACCCCACAGGCGTAAAAAGCAAATTTTACGTCCTTGCAGTTCCCGTGGCACCCTGCAGTTTCCCGTCTGCGCCTCCCGGAGCACCCTGTATCTGGCGCCTGTGAGATATGCAACGAAAACAGTTTTGCTTCCGGTAGCTTCGTACTGGACACTTCTGCGCACCTGGTGGAAATTGAGAATTTTACCAAAATTTGAAATCACTTTGCGTGCTAGGGTGATCGAGCCAAATATTTTTCACCGCAAATTATGAAAATCTTAATCGATTTTAATAAATGTGGTATCAAATGAAAGGGCTCAAATACAGCGGTTATTTTTGTTGATGTTTAAAATTATTTTGAGCGTAAATCACCTCAGAACTAATGAAAGAAATAATATTTTATATGCAACAGCCAAACATTTTTTTTTTACTTTTATTGTTATAATAAATATATGTATGTAACGTGTTTGTATGTTTTATTACAATTCCAACATTATTATTTTTGTTAACCACAATAGTTGTAAAATATAAGTAAATATAAAGAGCGGTAAAACTAACAAAGTGCGATGACTTACTTAATTAAATACGCATCGCAAAAAAATGTCTTTTCAAGGATTATTTTAAAGATCAAACAAATTGCTTACATGGATTGAAAATACAAAAATACATATCTAATATAAAATAATGGACTAGTGTGAAGTTAAGTGGAAGATAGAGAGCTGAGTGTGTTGACAGTTTAAAAAGTAAAATATTGGAGTTTGATTTGTATAATAATCATAAATCGGTGGCTGAGTAAAAGATCGCCCTATCTCGGCTTCCGGTTCAAAAACGCCCCATCCAGTTGGCGGTGTGTTCAACTTCTATTGAGAGGGCGTTTTCGAAGCTGCCGCTGAAATAGGGTGTTTTTGAATCAAATTTTGACATAGGGTGTCTTTCAGCCAAATTTTGAAATAAAGGCCTTTTCTAACCGACAGCCGAGATAGTGCGATCTTCGACTCAGCCCACGAAATAAAGTCTTCTTGGGTTGGACGTCAACGACATTCAAGGCCAAAAATCGCAGAGATTGCACAGTTTTGCAAATAACACGACAAGAAGCACACGTTAGTTCAATAGATAGTTTTCACATCTATTCATTAGCCATGTCTTCGGTGTCATTCTCCATTTCCATTTCCGAACCACGACCTTCGCGTATACGTTTCAATTTTCGCTTTAAAGTCATTATGCCTGCAATGTTAGAAAAATCAATCTTTTTTTAAATTTTTTACTCAATACTTCACTTACATTTAATTGCTTGGAAGGCTTTGGCCGATGTACAGGAACTCTCCGAAGCAGACGAATTGGCTAACGTGCTAATTTTTAGTTTCTCTTGTGCTAGTTTTACTTCCATATAAGCCTTTTTGAGTGTTTTAAAGTGGCGATGTTCGCTCGAATCCTTCAGCAAGATGCATCTGCGAAGTATTAAATAACAAATATATTTTTTTGGAATTTTCTCTTTTGTGTTAGATTTAAATCTTACTTTGCAGCTGACCCTTCTCCTGAACAATCCACGGGCGATGAGTGGTATATTTGATGATAAAAATACTGCAACACTGGTGAATTCCATATTGATAGCCCATACCATAACCAAATTGCAACATTTAATATAATTTTAAAATTTTTGGCAAATAACGTAGGAACTAAATATTTGAATGGTAGCAAGCTGATGAATACGTGTGACCTATAAATAAGAGCAGAATTGTTTATTATTGAAATAAGTGTTTACAATCTATAAAGTATTGATAGCATTTACTTTCCATATCTACATATGGAGGGCTTGTATTCAACAATTTTTATAAAAAAAAAACTTCTTTCTGATAATTCAGAAGGGTTTTCGGTGACTGTAAACTCTCTTATTATTTCTCACTTTAAAATCCAACATTGCATTTTAATAAGCGAAACATAAGACAAAATGTATGTCCGGGGGTGGTATGCCCCGGACATTGACGAGACAGAGCTTCATCTGCCTCGGGAGACACGCACTACACTTGCTCAACTTCGCTCCGGCTACTGCAGCAGGTTAAACTCCTACTTGAGTAGGCTGAATGAGGATGTGCCGAACGAATGTCCGGCATGCGGAGAGACCCCACATGACTCGAACCATCTCTTCGCATGCCCGGAAAACCCGACAACCCTAACGGCCCTGTCCCTGTGGACAGATCCCACAGAAGCTGCACGCTTCCTAGGGTTGCCGTTAGTGGAACTTGACGACAACGACTGAGATACCAACCGATCTGGGCGGGGTTGTTGTAGCCGCTACAACAACAACAACAACAACAAAATGTATGTCGTTCCCACGACAGTCGGGTCTACGTAACCGGAACACCCAGATTTATATCTGGCCAAGGACTGTCACTCCAGCAACACTCCCCAAAATCTCTTTGGGGAATTTGTATGCTGTTACAACAACAACAACAACAACAACAACAACAACAACAACAACAACAACAACAACAACAACAAAATGTATGTTATCAAAGACAGTTGAGTCTAAGATGGATTTAATATCAGAAATCCATTCTCCAATTATGTATTTTAAAACCCCAGACTCTTCATTTAAATCTACACAGGCAAGTAGCTTAATGTGAGGGGAGTGGAATTGGTTCTGTTCTTTTAACGACCATGAAGACGTTTCATAATATTGCTCAAGAGTGCGAAAAAATATGTTATACTTACCAAGAGGCTATGCGTAGACCCAAAAAGACTTGGAACAACAACCGGCTACCATTCGAATTGATTAAAGCTAATAAAAAGAGAGTCTCTGTAAGTATATTGTAGACGCCTAAGCTGAGATTCAGGCCGACAAAATAGTTTTCATATCTGAAAGAAAGCGAAAATCATTAATTATGAAATTACAAAATAAAGTGGACAGATCAGTGCAAAATGGTCGATCAAAATTTTTGGAATTTTTGTATAGCATTATCAATTCTTAACTAATAGCTGATCATATTCAGTTTGCACTTCCCTTCTGCGTGTCTAAGAACGCACTTACTTGTATACATCAATGGCCACCAGTGCAAGTAAATAGAGCGTCCTTGAGCAAGCCTCTAGATAATCGGATTCCTTAAAATCCAATATGGCATTATGTAAATAAAATGTTATTATAAATAGCGAATAGAATTGAAATTTTTCACATTGTTGCGATTTGTAGAAAATCATATTCTCCGAGGAATAAAACAAAGAATAACGTCCTTGATTTTTAGACAGCTGTGGCAACAACATCAATTCATTGTAGAAATAAAGGAAAAGTGTACAAGCGGCATAGAAAGAAATATTCCAAACGGAGCGAGCAAATTGTTTGCGTTTGTAAAACTTTATGTTGGACGTTTTTAAGAAAACCTGGAAAGAAAAAATGTGCTATAAATATTGGGAAGTTTGTACAATATCAATATAAAATGTGTCATAAGTACTTCACTATAATTAATTCAGTTGCTTATAAACACTTGTTTTAATAGATTTTTTAAAGGTTTGCGTTTCGTTTTTTTATAAAACACATTCATCACAATCTGGCAGCCTTTTTTTTTTTTTTTTGGGATTTGGGTAGGTTGGCCGGTTTAATTGTAAACCACCGCCAGGTTATTCCTCTTAGTATGCTATATTCCAAGGGTATGATAAATCTTCAGGTGTGTCCAACGTTGCTCCACTAATACACGTATGGTAATACCGCTGAGGGCCAGAACCACGTGCAAAGTTTCTGCTGGTCTAACGTCTTAAATTTTTTATTAATTATATATTAGATTGTATTAATCTGTATGTATTTAATGGCAGGGAAATAAGTCCACGTATCGCCAGGTTATATCTCAAAATGTATAATTTTATAATTATGCGTCAGATGTTTGTTAAAATTTAATTTTATACTTTAATCATTTTCATGCAAACTGTACTTCATCAGTTCTATAGCAGTTTTTAGTTATTTTTCCAACAGTTATGTCCATACCGTGCAAACGGTACTTTATTTAGCTTTGCATCTTCTTTGTTTAACGAATTTAACATTATGGTTAATATTTCACTTGAAGCACTTCATATGTATGTTTTATTTAAATTAATTTATTAACATTATATTTAAAGTTTAAGTATTATCAGATATCTTTTATTTTAATTTGGAACGATTCAGAATTTTATATTTATTACATATTACTATGTATAACACGACAAGTCACATGTGAAAAGACTTCATTATTTGCTTATATTTTAATCCAATATTTGCTTTAAAAGTACTCGACAGGTCAGCACGACCATACTCGTCGAGGAGCCATTTTGAACTCTGATCTGGCAGCCTTGTACTAAACGTAAACAACAGCTGATTTTGCCGACTGCACTGCTACCACAATTGTCAAAACAATAGAGCAAACAGCTGACGCCTGCAGTCCTGCAAACAAAAAAAACTCGCATGCTATTTTTAGTAGCAACACTTGCATGCATTTGTATGTTTGGATGTGTGCACACATGCACATTTTCCCCGATGAATTTTTCGCTTACCTCAAATATTTTATAGAATCCAATGAAACCTCCGGCAAAAAAGAGAAATATCCAGAACAATGCATTGAGCAAATAGTTCAAATCCACATGCTTCATCAGCGCATCGAAACGTTCATTTATAATGAAGTACTTCAGCGGCAAAAAGAAGTTATAAACGTCCGCCCAATAATCGGGCGGACCTGGCTTCATATCCAGTATGGACGTCATGGTCGTTGCTGCTTTCTTTTTTTTCAAATATCAGCAAATTACTTTGTGTTACTTACTGGTTTTATATTTCTCGTTTTACATTTTTTTGGATTGGTTTTTTGTGCTAATTAATCTATCGAGTCTTAAAAAATTACAAGTCCCGTTTTTTCTATTTTTGACAATTGCTTCTGTACTCGTTATCTTGCACTGACATTTATACAACGAGTAAATATTAGTTGTGCTGCCATATGAAAGTTATCTTATTAGAAACACAAAAACTTAAGCTAAAATTAGTCAAGAACGCAGAACGTATACTTAAACCCAGTCTGTATACGCAGAATTTTGTCGATTACTAGAGCCCTCGGTGTTGCTTACTACAGTGTTGCCACTCACCAAAGCGTTTTCATAAACCTACCTTTTCAACTACAGTTTTTCGTGCTATAATAGATTGTAGCTAAATATAAACTACTTAGTTTTCAACAAAAAACCTTATTCAATAGTAAATTTCAAATATTTTAAACATATTTTGAATAGGAACTTATACCTTTTTTACCATCTGCAAAACTGACGAAGTGGCAACCATCTAAAGAAGGAAGAAATCAGCTGACACGGAAAAATATAAATTCCTCAGATTTCTGCGCTACGGGCTACTACTACAGGAAAATTCTGCGGTGTTGAGTTTTCATTTAAATGGCGCTCTGGTAAGACAGATCGTGTCAGCTGACTTGGGTTTACGTACCGGTCGGTTTACGTTCTTGACTAACTTCAGCTTTAAGGGAAACTTTACTAAACGTAGCCTACTTTTAGGTAGCAATTTTAATGAAACGTTGTTGTTGTTAAAGCCTACATAGTGCCCAACGAGTTTTTGGGTTAATTTTTCAGCTTTTTCCGATCCTGGGATTTTCAGGATGTCGTTATCACAATCCCGGCATCCCGGGATTTAGATATTCATTACTTTCACAACTTAAATCGAAAAATTGCGTCTATATTGTTTGAGAAACTCTGCTAATATAAAATAAATAAATTGGTTTGAAACCTACTTTTTTATTTAAAGTGGCGTGTTTATTTTTTCTCTCTGACGCCGGGATTTATTTTAAAGGACTCTGTAATTTCAAAGATATGGTTAATTCCAAAAATTATTTAAAAAATTCAATTCGATGTGGAATAAAAATATGGGTACCAAATGCAAGAAGAAATTTCTTTGGACCTGAAAAATAATTACAATTTTTTGGATTACGAAAAGGTAATTTTTTAATCTGATAAAGTTAGAAGGACGAAATTCGAGAATGTTATCGATTTCATATAAGTCCTTAACATATAATTTTTTCAAAAACAAATATTTCGAAATTTCAAGGATAAAATTTTAAAAGGACATTTTCAATACTTACCAGTCCTTCTGCACCAAAAACTGGAACCTGTTTAAATTCTACAGGATTTCCTCTTTAATTTAATTCCCATACTTCTTCTCTAAGCAATTTTTGAATTTTTTAAATCATTTTTGAATTACTGACGCCAGACTGAAAAACTAAAAACCATGATAAAAACATAGCAAGGTAGAACCATGATACAAAAAAGAAGGTAGTTCCATTTAATGACATTCGTTGTTGTTGTTAACCATTTGACTTTTAATAAAATTATGACATTTCACCAAATTCATGCTACCTGATCACTAGAAAAAATATTTTTTTGAAAGCAGAAGATTTTATCTGTACATTCAAAGATGTGGAATATGATGGACTTTAAAATTATACCGCCTACATAATTTCGAAAATGGGGTTGATGACTAGGGTTCAGAACGCATGAGGAAAGTGATCAAAATTATACTTACATATCGTCGTTTATACTACGTTCAAATTGGCCCCGTTTAACTTGTTAAATGAAAAAGAGCTTTTTGGAAAACACAATCGTCCACATTGAACATTTGGAGTTAACCTTGACGGTTGTTTGATTACCAATAAAAATTCGAAAAAAAATATTCAAAATCAAGTTTTAGTGTTTAAATTTGTTTTGTGTGAATATCTGCTTCATGATATTAACGCATACGGATAACTTAGAGACTTCAAAGTGTTTAGTTCGTATGCACTATTTATCTCTGCGTACGATGAGACCTCGTGGGAAATAACTAATTACCGCCTGGGCCTCTTTTTAGACAGGCAGACATGCATACAATTATGATATTTTTTGATAATTTTTAATTTTTNCAATTTTACTATATTTGGCCCATGGATTCTCGAATATATTGATATTTGTGTTTAAAATGTAAAACTATCGCGCGGTGTTATATGTATAATGAGCTAGACATTTATACAAAAACATTAATTATTAAATAAAAAAAGAAATATAGCCAATACTGGTCAGAAGAAAGAGTTTCTATTATTGCCATCCGTGCAAATTACAAATCCCGAAGATCCCGGGATTATTTGCCAAGAATCCCGAGATTTTTTTTCGGACCTTAAAAAGGCCGGAATCCCGGGATTAACAAAAAAACGCGTTAAACCTAGAATGTTCAAGTCAAAGCAATATACAATTATTGTTAATTAATTTTTATTGTTAAAAGTACTCGATATAACAATTTTACTTTTTACAAAAACTATATTGATATACTAAATATTTTACATATATTAATACACGTATGTAAATATGTATGTATGTATGTACCCAGTGGGGAAAATGTAATGTATGGTAAACAAAAAATAATAATCTGTAAAACAGCCGTTTTCACATTCGAAAATTCATTTCTTTCCCACGGCGATATCCTAAGAAAAGTGGAACGTTGCATTTGCATTACCTAGTAATCGAAGAATGTATACGATTTAATATGAATTTTTGGGGCTTTTTGTAAACATTAAAATGCTGATTACAAATTAATCAGTAATAGAATGCATTACTACTTTTCCCACTGGATATGCATTTACATACATATGCATGCTTGCTTCTGCATTGCATACATATGTATTATATACAGACTTGCTATCGATAAGATAAATTTACAAAAGTGGAAAATGACCATGCAAATAAGTATGTATGTAAATACAAAATCGTTATCACTTAATAGATACATACATAAAATGATTTTTTATAAATTAATGCGTTAAATATATTATTATGCACTACATACACGTACACATATATACGTACATAACCTAAAATAAAAAAGCAGGAATACACCATTTTTATATATGTATGTACCTATGAACATACATACATATATTGATTTAAATGCATTGCATTGCATCTTCCAATACATAATTGTACAAAAAGCATTTACAACATTTCACATACACATGCATACAACAACAAAAAATATTGCAAAGAAAATTAATTTAATTATTTATAATCGTTAGAAAAAAAATCAATTTACTGAATATTAATGAAAAATTTTCACTACATAAACATACGTACATACATGCATACAACTACATAATTAATTTTACCTCTACAACTTATTATTTAAGTGAACATTCTATAAAATATATATAAAATTATTAACAGTTATTTAAGTAACAACTTTTGTGAATATAAACTGTTTCTCAAGACATTTAGCTTCATTTTACCTTAAACTACACATAGTAAATATGTATTCGCATTTATTCTTTTTTTTTTCTTGTGCGTATTAATTTAAAGTGCACTGCTGGAACAGGTACCGCCATTATTGTGCATCTTTACGCGGCAATTAAAATTTCCCGTATCCACGCCGCATTCGAAGTGATTTTATCATACATTCTTGGTCGTTCCACACCACTTGGTCCACAGGCAATACGCCACGATGAGACACCTAGTAGTGCCCATTGATTTGTGCCCGGAATGAGACATTGAACTGGCGCGCCAGAGTACTCCTCTTGCTGTGGGCGAGATGGAAGAAAAATTTATTTCATATTACATACATCAACATTTGGTTTGCTTAAGTAAAAATTGTTTAAAAATTTATTAATATTTTCTTGCTATAAAAATAATAAAATACTCGAATACCAGGTAAAAATAAATATTAACAAAAATATTAGCAAAGGAGCAAGGAGCTAAGGAGCAAAGGATTTTAGCTGGAGCGGAGCTAGTGCAAAGAGCTAAAAAAAATTAATTTGCTCCTTACCTCCTTAAAGAAACATTTTCAATATTTTGTTTTTGTTATTTTCTGGCCTAGTAACCATCAGAGGTGTTAAATAATGCAGCCATTTTTAACTAAATTTTTCACTTGATTGAAGTCCCAAGTGATTGCAATAATTTTTTGTTAGTCCTGACTAAGACTGATTTTAGCCATTGGAGTGCATTCTTTTGCAGTACTTTGAATTTTTTTCAGGAACCGAGAACACGTTCCGGTATTGGTTTAGCTCTGCATGAGCACAAAAGGTAACGTCAAACAATGCGAATAAAACTCTCGGGAACGTTCTCAAGAAGAACAGAATAAGAACGAAAGTTTCGGGAACGTTTTCAATGAGAATGAAAGTAGGAGGATCACATAAGAACAAAAGTCTGGGAAACGTTCTGCTAGAGCAAAAAACTAGAACATAAGTTTTGAGAATTTAACGCTAAGAATGAGAGGGACGGCTGCGTGTTGAGATGAGAAATCGTTTCAGTGAAAACCATAACTGTTAATTCTAAGTTCCAGATCGTTCATTATTTGGGTGATCTGCCAGTTTCTGGAAATTATTTCACTTTCTAAGCAAGAAAAGTTCGTGTCGTAAGTCTTTCGTTGACTTAATTTGCATAATTATCTTTCAGTTCTATTTTGATTAATTTTAATATTAAAACATTTCAAACTAATGAAACGCTATGAAAAAACAACTTTGTTCTCGCTTCCATTCTTCGCGGAGAGCTTAAAGAAGATCTGTTCCGGATTTGTTCTCTGTCAGAAAGTTCGTGAGACTTCAGCTTCTAAAACGTTCTTCAGGAGACATTGACCTTTGTTCCCTTAGAAAGTTCGCTGTGGGGACGTTCCATATGGTTTTGTTCATATATAATTCCCATGAAAAACTTTTTTTTTTATGGTTTTTGTCGTATGTATATGGCACACAAATCTACAGAAATTGCTAGGCTTAACCGGTAGCCGATTATTTAAAAAGCGTGCCTTAAATACAACACACCCTTAGAACGGTTTTCTACTTTTTTTTGAAAAATAACACAAGGCAATCCATGCTTGCAACAGAAATATATGTCAATTCCATTATTTCTTGAGGAAAGAGCGAGGCAACAGGCTGGTGAAGTATCAATTGTAAAAATTCCTTGGACACACACACGAAATAATGGCAATTTTTTTCTTGACCGTTTTCTTAAGAGCTGCATACCAGCCTTAAGCCTAGTCGATATACATACTTCTTCCTGTTCTTATTTCACAATACACCGTTTTTCGTTTTGGGCCGAGAACAGAAATCTTCGCAAGCAGATTTTCTCCTTTTATGAAGTCCCACCAATTTCGCATACCATGTTCAGAGAGATCCTTCTGTACTTGACCCTTTCACTCTATTCGTGTAGGCCACCGCTGTCGTTTTGCAATCGCGACGAGGGATATTCTCACCGGAGAATCACCCTTAGCTAAATCGACAGCTTTTTCATTACTACAAATAGGTCTTATTGTGCTCTGGAACCCTGAGATTAACCACTTTATTCTAAGAAAAACTGTTTGCCACTCTTTTGCAGCCTGTCAAAATAATCGAATAATAGAGATTTTCAAAAATACTTCTGGGATATGTCTCTATAGGATCGCTCCTAAGCATTTCCTTCCCCCCGCTATTAGTATTCATCAAAGGTGATTGTCTTAATATGAAAAGGTAAGAAACAGGATAAATATTTTGCTTTATTTGTGACTTTTGCAACATGGCTAACAAAGAACTTGAATGGTTTAATGAACTCCGATTCACGCGACTTCTCTTTTCATCAACAACTTATCTTTTCTCTTTGGCCTCACTTCGTGTTTCTTATTCTGGCATTAATTAGCTAAAATAAGTGACTGTTGAAATGTTGAACTCGTCCAAAAACGCTTAAGCGGTTATAGCGCCAACGAAGAAGAAAACAGGTTGTGCAGCAGGGTGGTCCTTAAAATAACAACATCATGGGGCACTCCTTTATTTTGTTCTACGTACATACGAAATAAACACATCCACAAAAACTCAAAAACTTAAAACATAAATTTAGGGGACGCTAGTAGGGCTTGACAATTTTTTTATTTTTATGAGCTCAGCTACAACCCATATATTTTCAAACCCTGTAAGCGAACGCTAAAATTTGTTTAAAATTTTCAAATTTTCGTGGATAGTATAGAGAGCAAAACAAAGTCGTGTCCCATACAAAATTCAGATGTTGTTATTATAAGGACCACAGGTAATATGAGAAGAGCAAAAACAAAAAATGACATGATTTTGTTGTATATTTTGCACTTTAGAATGTCAAAATAGGTAAACAAAACTTGGCAGTTTAGAGTGAAATATAAAAAGAAATTACAATTGAAAGACGAAATCAATAAAATTAGCCTTTCTCGTGCTACCTACCTAACTTCGAGCCATTATTCCAAAGGACGTAGGAAAAACGTATAGTTTTTAAAATTCGAATAAAAAAGAAAACTATAGAAGAAAAAGTGTAAAATCAAACTGATTAGGAATTCCTTTCGGATTTATAAAAATATCATAAAACATAACTTGCAAATAATTGCTTTAACGATGTTTACATGTTCTCTAAGGAATGACACTGAACCTAAAATTATGTTTTCTTTTAAAAGCAGAAAGCGTTCAGTTAAAAAGGTTGTTTTCGAAAAGATTAGAAAAACATGTACAAAAATATGTACATATGTACTATGTACGCAGGCATGTATTGAACATGCCATTAGTATGCACTAAAAAATACAAAACCTGTTTATGAATGAAAAAGCTTAGCGCCTTTAACAACTTGGCTATTTTATTTTGGTCAAGTATCCTTTTTATGAGTCACAAATGAATGAGATAATTTATGAATCTATGTACACATGTATGTTTGTATGTAATCCCAAACAACAGCATGAATTAGTGTATACGTATATGTATGTGTGTGCGTACGAGTGTTAACATCCTGTCACGCACCCTCTTCACGCTTCACTACCTAAAACATCTACGCATATAAAACCAAATGCGCTTGAATGGAGAATCATTATTAGTCAAGCACTTGAATAGAACAGACCTTTCAACGCTTTGAAGAGCAAAACCACAAACAAAATAAAAAATTAAAATTTATAAAAGCATTATTAATTAAATAAACTTTGTTAAAACGATCAAAATGGCACAGCGCAGAAATTTGAAAGTTTCATATCACGGAAATCGTCGGACAATTGGATATAAAATGGGCAACAGCTGTGATGAAATTCTCAAGAAGAGTAAGTAAATACATACATACATATATATGTACATAAAACCTTTCATCTTTATCATACACATTTTTACTTTTTTCATAAACCTTTTTCTAACTAAATTAAATTTCCTCTTTTTTTTCAATTCAGTCATGCTGCACTTTGAGATACCACGTCACCACAAATCATCGCTACTGCTCACCACTGAGACTGGAAAAGTTTTTAGCGGCCGTCAACTCCGCAACTACCTTCAATTATTTCCAAATCCGCATATAACTTTTTATTTACGCTATGATAGCAAAGGCACCATAAAATCAGATGACAACCTAAGCGGCAGCTGTGCCGGAACAAACCGTAAAAATCTCAAACGCCAACGTGACGCCATTGATTATGACGGCGATGACGAGACTTATCCAACGACACCTGTATTTCGCATGAACTGTTTTATAGGCGCCTATCCTAGCAAATGTTCAGCACCGCCAGCTAAACGTGTACGATTTAGTGAAGCTTTAAATCGCATTAAAGTCATACCAGCTCGTCCACAACTAACTAGGAAGCTGGTAGCCGGAGAAGGTACACTGCGTCGGATGAATTCTTTTGTTGACGAATATCCTGAAACTGCAACGTATGCACAGCGTCTAGTTGGAAGTTCTGTGGATCAACCAAATCGAAACTCTACGAAAGAAGCGGTGATAGGATCTAAGACACAGTTGGCTTCATGGTCGCCAGTATTTCGCATGAATTCCTTTATAAACACTTATCCCACAACACCACAGCAACCGATCACCAAGTTTTTCAAACAAAAAGCAAGGCGTACACTATTCACGGATGCCCAGAAGCGTATGGCTGTAGCCAAGCGATTACCGCGTTTGTAAAAATTTGTAATTCCAATGGCAAACCAAACACGTCGACGATACCAAAACGAACCGCCCAAGGAGTATCACTCTCCATCAGTATTTCACAACAAATGAGGCTTCAATATTAACTCTAATACAAAAGTATAGTTGCGTACTACATACATACAAATGTATACTAAACTACATTTATTTTCTTAAAAAATTTAAAAGTAGCCAAAGATTTTAAGTTTAAGTATTTTTACCATAATATATTCAACATAATTTATTTATATGTATGTAATTAGAGTATAAGTCAGAGGCATGTGATCGTTTAAATTTGAGTTTGATCCAGTACTGCACTATTTCTTTTATTGTAATTTTATTGTAATTTAAGAATCAAAAATAATTAATTGTACTCTATATTTTACTTTCCAATAAATGCAAAAAACACATTTTAAAATAATTTTTGTTGTATTATTGCTAAAAAGTTGGTAGATCTACCAATAAAGTGGTAAAGTCTGTGCACTGATTCTGTGTTTTGTGTTGTGCGAGTTTGTTTATGCCTTTTTTACAAATTCTACGCCAGCACTTAATCACGTAACCAGGTAACCTGATAACCAGGCAGTTATGACTACATAAAACTAACTACAAACTACATAAATATTTTACATCAGTGTGGCCTTATCTAAATTTGCAATTCGTTTGATTGTTATTGATCATAAAGCCGAAGAAAATTGCTAATAGATTTTAACTCAGGCCTCAATATACATACATGAAAAATTTTAATGCGGCATCAGAAATTTCTCAATTTAATTAACCAGGAAAACTAATTAACCGGGACTCAAAATTTTAGGGCGCTAGAGACCTTTCCACTACAGATAATTTTTCACATATTTAGTTCAAAAATGCTAGAGAAGTCCATATGCTGAAAACAATTTTTTCTAAAATGAACAAAATTAGCCGAAAATGTTCCACTGTGCGTCCCTATAAATTCCTATTATAGAAATAAATTTACAATGCTCTGCAGCTAAGAGTGATCTAAATCTAAGGGCGACGAACAGGCGGTCACTACTTTAGATTTGTCCGTAAATTCGAAGTCGATCTCAGAAGAAACAGCGAATCAGACACCGTTCCAAGCAGCGACGAGATATCCATCTCATCTCAAAAACTTACAAATTTTTTCAATGTTTCTAAGGACTAGACCTATGCAAAGTTGGTAAACAAGATGGAGCTTTTTCACTCAAAACTCGCCTTTGTCATGCACAGTCAATTCCCAAAATATCTTTGACAGCGCCTTGTCAATTTTTATTGGAACCCAGAGCCTAGCGGTGTTTCGGGAAATAAGGCATTATACGAGTGAGTGATAAAAGGTTCGGCTACAAAGCTTGGGAAACCGAGTCCTAGTGGTGGCAAACTATCGATAGAGGGCGATAATTTTTTTAAACAATTGGGCCGTATTCGTAGTCAAAATTAAGTTGGTACTTAAAGTTAGTTGTAAATTTATTGACAGATAACCCATCAAAAGTTATGTCAAAAAGCTACAACTTACTTCAAGTACCAACTTAATTTTGACTATGCATACGCCCCTACCCCTACGGACCTACCTTAATAATGAAAGTATGATTTAAAAAACGAAACGAATATTTACGTATTCTGCTTTCTAAAGCTAATTGCTTTTATTTAAGAAACATAGCTCTATATAATGCACATTTTTTTCGATAGTGAAAAAAAAACCAAAACCATCGATAGTATCGACAGTGCCATTGAAAGTTTGCCACCACTACTGAGTCCTAGCATGCAACCCCTCTAATAATATAGCTCTCAGCAGTTGGGGAAAGTTAAGAGTATCTACTAACAGAAAATTAACAGATCCGGGCACTTGCACTGGCCATCGGAACAGAGAGCTTCATAAGGGCCATTTTTGAAGCGAATTCTGAAATATAGCGTTCTTGAAAAGTTTTCTCAGATAGGGCATCTGAAATAGGTCGATCTTCTACTGAGCCTTCGATATGTGCATATGTATTTCAATTTCTTCTCGTGTTAGAAGTAATGTCGCACGGTGTAGTAATCTAAGTTACTGAAACTCCAACTTCACTGCTACTGTGTATGATCGATATGTAAACCAGTAACACAATTGAATGGTTTCAGCTGCCTACATAAAGAAGTTATATCGCAAAAACTCGTATCTGAACAATCATTGGTATAGGAGATGTAGATTATACAGCACCGATTTGGACGATTTCCTCAGTAGACATTGTGTGATTATTTTTGTAGAAAATAGCTCATGAAATTGCTCGGTTTTAGCCATCCGAATGAAGGAGTTTTAAAGTAAACCCCAATAACTGAACAATCAGTTGTATGGAGGCTATAGGTTATAGTGACCAGATCTTTGCCATTTTCTATGTAAGTTTTCTGTTGATAATTAGTGAAAATAGCGCGAAATTTCATATTACTAGCTTCATAAATGGAGGAGTTATAACAAAAACTCCAATATCTGAAAAATCATTCGTACGGAAGCTAGTATATGTTGTAGTACTGAGCTTTTGACGGTTCCGACAAATGATTAATACATTACAAAAATACATTCTCTTACAAAATTTCAGTCGAATATCTCGAAAATTGAGGGACTTTATTCCGTTCAAACCTCTTTGCACAATATTTACATAATTTTAGGAGGCGTTACAGCTATCACCGCAAGAAAGTACCCAATTATTTTAAGTAAGGAAATAGAATGTGTACTAAAAATGTAAGCGATCCCCGAAATCGAGATCACAACCAAATGCAAATATTTTTTTTTATGAAAAATTAGAAAATAATAATGATGATAATAGGCATCTTAAATGGCCCGAGGCCATTTGGGTATTCTTTATGTTTGTTTTGATGAAAATTAAATGAAGTCAGCTGATTTTAGTTTAAAGAATTGCTAAACAAAAGCAAAGGGCACACAGGTAATATACATACCTAGTATGTATGGTACAAACATTATACAAACAAATGTATTTATGTAGGTATGTATGTATGCATAATGTGAGCATACCCTGCAGGAAAAATATGAAAAAATAAACGAATAACAAGACATCAAAAAATGTAGAAACATGATTTCAAAATAATGGACGCGAATGCAAAACTTTATCTACTAATCTCATCAGGGCTGTTGCTGAATATATCGTAATTCAATTTTTTGTGAAATCTTTTTAAATGCTATTAATTATGGAGCTACGACACAATGAAATGGACTCTAGCAAGGAAAGCAGGTTTGTAAAGGTATTTTTAAAAAAATATTAAGTTAAAATATACTATTTATATTGCTTCACAGTTTTGAAAATAAACTTTTTTGTGATAAAATCTAATATCTCGAAAACGATAACAGATACCGAAAAAAAATTCAGGAAACCTTGTTGGATAAGTAAGTTACCTTGACCTTTCAAATTTCTTTAAAAAATGGGTGTTTAATTTATTTCATGTTTTGAAAAAGAAAACAGATTATTTTTGAAGTCCGTTTTAAAGGTTTTATTGAATAAAAATTCACTTGGCCTTAAACACGAGATTCAAAAGTAAAAATTTTAAATTTTTCCTTTATTTTCACCAGGAAATTGCATATAATGAACTCCGGCCATGGAAGGAACCCACTTCAAGCAAGAACAGAACAAATATAAGTTTAAATATTTTTTACAATTTCATTTAGAATTGTTGAAACCCTTATGTTTTCTAAGGCCATTTTAAATATCAGGCTAATTTTTTATCCAACGAGGAATACTGAATTCTCCATCTTAAAATCATTAAAATACTGATAAATGTATTTCACCTGCTGTTCTCCTTCCCGATATATTTATTAGATTTTGCCAAAAAAAGTTAATTTTCCACACTGTGTAGCGTTCAAGATAAATTGATACATATAAAGCTATGGTCAAGTTGAGGTGAAGTATGGCTATCCGTCTGGGTTGTTCAACAGCTTAACAGTGTCTAAAACAAAGTCAAAAAAATATTTATTTAAAATGATTTAACCCTCAAACCGGCAACTTTGAAATAGTGATCAGAAATGGTTGGGAATTTTTTTCTGGCATAACTTGGGCATGATAAACTCAATGTTGTCATCTATATACCATTTTGTCGCTTCGTTTGACTTCCAGGTGAGATAAACGAAACAGTGCCTCCAGGCACTCATATCGGTTAAAGCAAAATATATGAACAGATAGAAATTTTATTAAGTACCAACGGTTTTATTCCAAAAAGTTTAGCAGTGCAAAGGAATCTAGAAAAATGTGTTACTTTTTTGAGTGCTATTCCAAAAAGCAATTTTTTGTCGCAGATCAAAAAATATAAATTGCATACTTCGCAAATACATTGAGTTTGCGACTTTTTACAAAATTTGCACCATTCTTTCCACTTTCTCGAGCCATTTAGGAAGTTGATTGTTACCATTGAAACGAACGTCATCAACATGATATACAGATTTTCTGCCAACACTCAGAGCAGCAGGTTGCGATTCATCTTGTGGAGTAGAAGGTTGACTTGTTGAAGATGGGCCACCAACCGAACGCGTTTGAGTGTAGCTCACAAGACCAGCATAACGGATAAAAAAGGCGGTCATTGCGTCCATCCCCATCTCGGAACGACGGGAATCTTTTTATGACTTCAAACCGTTTCAATGGCATCGTTTTGCGAATGGGTTCGAATGCATTCTTCATTAACTACCTCTCTAAATTCGGGGAGCGATAAACCGACATGTATAAATGAATGCCAATGTACTGGCAGATATCATCGACATTCACATTGAATCTCAAGTTTATATCCTGATTAAGTTAGAGCATACCGCTTCGTCTCTTAAACAATCATTTCAATTATTTCTTTAGGGGAAAAATATATAGATATTATTGCACCGGTCTTGAGAGCATTTTTGTGTGCTCAGGTAAGCCACGAAATGCCACCTCATTTATATGAAGTTTAAGGTTTGTTTTGCGCCAGATGACTTTGCTGAGTTCAGCAGAATCTCTGTTTATTGATTCAATGTCAGCAATAAAAAATCCATACGATCAGTACGTAAAATCAATTTTCCAAAGATGTGAGAGAAACTCTTACTTCCAATCAAACCACCATTGGTTGGTACAACTGCTGGACCTGTAGCTTCGGCTATACTACTACTTAGTCTCCACAGAATCCATAAATTCAAGAATTTCTTCGGCTGATAACTTCGACAATTTCTCACGCGACATCATGTAACGATTTGCATATATTGTTATTTAGACACTTTATGAAAAACAGGTGAACAATTTATAAAAAGTATTTGCCTTACCGGTAAAAATCACCATAACTAAAACGCAAAGGAAAAATGCGACGCGTAAAAAAAATCGCGCCGAACGACAAGAGTGCCTTGAGGCACACTTAGATTTTTTGCTATAGAACATAAAATCCAACTATTTTCAACACCGTAGATATAAAATCGTGAAGCTTATGACTAAAACTTTACGGGAATAAAATTCTTGAGTTAAAAGAACTTCTCCAAAATAAAAAATTTCGATGCTGAAAATCAGAAATTTTTTAATACGAAAACACGACCTTCTCCTCCACCTGTTCGCAAAAAACGGATTACAGAGGACTAACGGCCTGTCGGATTACATTCTAATTTGAGAAAGAAATGTCAGCAAACATATGATCAAGAGCGTTGAACTCACTTGCGTAATGAAAAATAACATTTTCATATGCAAAAGGTGATTTTTGTGATCCTTGCCTTGAGGCACTCTTACCGGTTAGAGGGTTAAGTATGTAGGTACATATTAAAAAACTTAATATGTTCGCACCGTACATTCGACAAATATTTCGTAGTTAATTAATGAGGGGATGACTTTTAGCATTTCCTAGCAGGTAAGTTGAATGCATTATTATCACATTTACACAAACAACATGCACTGTTTGTTGTGTCTGCTACAAAATAGCTCTTTATAACGTGGATGTGTACATACATATCTACAATGTATGTACACATGGTGATAATATGACACATCAGTTTCAGGTCTAACGGCTGGCAGAAAAGTGGAAAACAAAAATAAAAGAAAGCCGACATGAATGAACATGCAGCAGCATGACTGGCAACAAAACGAGAGCGAGAGCAACAACCCAGTGGTGGGTGCAAACGAGAATACTTTGAGGTAGTATGCAGCTGGCTGTTATGATTCAATTTTTGTTTGGCACTCGCCAAGCCAGCAATTGAATAGCGTTTTTTTTATTGTCAGAGATGTTTGCATGTGTGTATGTACATAAATATGTACATATGTCTATATGTGTGCTTATGTATGAAACGGTACAGTGTAAAAAATATTTGTGCATGGTTTTATTAAACACTTTCACTATTTGAATTGTACAAGCCAGTGTATTTTTTTATTTTTTAAAGGATTTAATAAAGAGTAAAGTTATTAATAAAAATATTGTAAAAATAAATTATTACATTGTTTTTTTCTGTTCTGTTCACGGACGGGTACAAAGGGGAACCATCCAGGGCTAACTTGTTCTTGTACTTACACTTTTATTTAATTATTTATTTTTTTTTATCTAATTTAATTTTAATTTAATCCTTTAGATTCCGTTCATTTTTTGTTTGACATATTTTATTTTACTTTATTTGATTTCAGTACATTTCATTTAAATGTATCTCAATTAGGTTCAGTACATTTCATTTTTTATTTTACATATTTATTTTATTTCAGTTCAATTTATTTAATTTAGTTTTATCTTATTTAGTTGCATTTTTTTCTGTTTTTTATTTTATTTTATTTGTTTATATTTTTTTATAGCGTTTTCTTTTATATCGAGAAATGTTACCATTTCTTTGCCCTCCGCGTATAAATACTAAGACGAGGGCAATGAAAAGCCAACACATTTTGAAGAAACGAAAACGCCATTGATTTTATTTTATTGCATTTTATTATACCGTACTTTAATTTGTTTTACGCTACTTTATTTATTTTATCATATTTTAATAAGAATATTTTCTGTATTTTTTTTTAGAGTGTCCAAATGAAGTTGACTGTTGCATACGGAGCTACCAATTGAATTTTCGTCGCTGCTACCTTTTCACTTCACTTCCAAAACAAGCGCCAGCCAAGGCGCACGTACCAAAAGGAGTACGCTCGGAACTGCCTTTCTTCGCGCAAAATGCATTGTAACGTCTGAGGGTGGTGTTTCGTACATGCAAACGTACATATGTAAATAGAATATACTTTGCACAACGCATCCACACCATTCCACAGTGGTTAAATAGACAAAGTACCAAGAGAGCAGTGAATGCAATATTTTTTGTACAGCAACATACCTACGGTTTACCTACTGCCAATACGCTCAGCTCATCCCTGCTCACCTGGCATTGGCACGTACAAAGAAACCTTCTCAGTGTCTGGCAAAACAAATCGAGCCGTTAAAGTGAGCGCACGCGAAACTCCGTTGCTTGCATTTATGGAATAACCGGGAAAAAAGTTTACAATTGAATAGCAAATATAATTAAAAGTTTTATATTTCAACAAAAATCCAAAGAAAATGTGCGAGGGAGGTGTTTTGAAAGTTAGCTATNAATTTTTTATATACGTTATGATTATAATCGAGCTCAGAGCCTTTTGCAACCGTTACAACAACGCCAAGAAGAAATAACGACAACAAAAACAATAGAAAGTAGTGATGATACCAATATGAAGAAGGAGAAAGGGAAAGTGAATCTCTGTGGGGACGAGGAAGAAGACCAACAAAGCTTATACAATTTTACGCCAGTGTATCGAATGAATTGCTTCATCTATGAATATCCAACAACTAAAATAAGAACGACAGATAATAATGGTAAAAAACAGAAGTCCAGCGCTGAGACACAATCTCCAAGGAGCGAGTTTGCGAAGCGTGTGAAAAAGCGTTTGCAAATTGGCGAATTGAAAAAGCGCACAAGAAAACCTTTGGCACAGGTAAAACGCATTATGAGACTGTAGCAAGCAAAGAGTGATACAGATGAGGGGAAGAGGAGGAAGAGCATAGAGGCCAACAAGGCCTACAAAAAGCAAAGGACTTCCGTATGTTTTTATTTATGAAAGAGAAAAAAATTTATAATTTTTTTAATCGAAAAAGAAAGTTAATTAATTTTTTTTTGTCAAATTGTATACGACTTTAATTTATGTGTATATTCTGTTTCATTAATCCCCGATAATTTGTTTTACAAAAAATGACTGATATAATCATATACATACTCATCTATGCCAAGCAATCAAATAAATATATTTATCTGCATATGTACTCATGTACATACTATTATCATGTATACTATTTTCTAGTATTTAGCAAGTAAGTGTTTCAGTAAGCCATTCATTTTTGATATTGCATTATGTATATTTTTCAGTTGAATAACAATTTTATATTTATAATTAGAAAGATTTCGTTTTGTATTAAATGGTAAATGCCAAAAGCACATGCACACATGTATGTAAATAAAATATTATAGTTTAAAAAACTAAAACCTCCCTATTACAATTGCCATTCGCACTGTCATCAGGTATGTAACTTGAGAATAGAAATCGCTGCATCTTTTAGGCGCATCAATATTACATAGTTACATCCCGAGTTAATAAAAGGAAGGTAAAAATGGGAGATTTTTGAAAGAGTGATTGGTTAACAGATTAACCAAGTGATGTTAGTGCCTGACATAATGATTAGGGCGACCTTTATTGCCAAGTTATGACTTTTTTCAAATAATTTTAATAATTTTTTATAGAAATATACTCATAGCTTATTCTTGAACAAAAACCACAATAATTTTATAAATCCAAGTTTCAAACTTTGTGCAACAACAACAAACTTTTATTTTTAACTAGCGGTACCCCGGCGTGCTTCTCTACACCAAATATTGAAAAATTAATGAAAAATCCTGGAATTTTTCCATATGAAATGTTTTTTTTTACTATATTGCAGCCATGTTTATACTTGACTTAATTTATCCGAAGAAAAAATAAACACAGCACACCATAGCAACAATTTTTCTCTATGTTTTAAATTTTTCATGTATCTGACATTAACTGTCATATATCATGAACCGCTGGACCGAATTCGGGCACACTTCACATAACCCATCTGCATGATAGTCCGAATATACCGTTTAAATTTGGGTACTTATTTTTATACATAAGATACGATTAGATGTCTTAGATAGATTTTGAGTATGCAGTTTGGTAGCCTATTAAATTTTAGCATAAAAGTGCAAGTTTGAGGTGGCTAAAAAATACCGTTTTTGTTTTGTTGGCGGTGTAATTTTTTCTATACAAAAGCATGTTCGATAACACAGGCCAACAAAAATGGGGAAATATTTTGGTGCGATAAATGTTAAAGCTGAACATTCGACTACAATCCCTAAAAATACCATCCCTGCACCTTGACTCTTAGGTCACTTGTAGTTATTTATTTAACAGCACAAACTGATTTTGGTACAATTTTTCTTTCATTGGCACATTTTTCCGGTATTTTTATTCTTTTTAAATAAATGACTACTAGGCACCATTGGGTCAAGGTGCAGTAATAGAATTTTCAGGGTTAGAACTAAGAAGCCTAAATCGCACTAAATGAAGTGAAAAATCGTAGCCAAAAATAGAATTCCGTAGTAGATATTTTTTATTCATATTGGCTCGTCATAATTTGCCTCTTTTAGTTAAATAATAAAATAATGCATAACAAAGCCTTTAATCGTGTCCTGCAACTATACCTACTATTTAGCATCTATAAAAGAATAGCAACGTAAAAATTTTCCATATTTCTTATATAACATTCTAAGCTCTTGTTTTTTTTTTTGTGACGTTAGTTATTTTTTTTTAATGGGACTCCTGATGGGGTTCAAAAAATTATTCGTCGGGTAATTTCAGGGAGCCGTTGAACAAATGAAGCACCAATAAAAATGAAAAACCAATATCTCAAAAAAAATAACATTTGAATACTATACACAAAACGTGGGGTATGTCGCCCCCAATGTGGTACGCCTGGCAACCCTAACCATTCACAAAGTCAGGTGAGGGCTTTAAATTAAAGGTCGATGCATGCATGTTCGAACTGATACTACACATTTTACTTAGCACTCGTAGATTAATAAAGTTTTAAAGTTTTTAAATTCGCAAAAATGTTCTTTCGTAAAATATTACAAATATTCGACTTACCGTGCAATCGTGCTTTTGATATGTGGCTTCCGTGCACATGCTATTCACAGTTGCTATGGAGATGTTCTCACATGGCGCCATATCGCCAATTTTCAACTGCACCCGTTGCAGATGGTCGCGTTGTCTCGACCAACCCAATGTATTGCAATTGGTCCAGATTTCTTCAGCTTTTGGCGGCGCCGGTGACGTTTTGCTACCCACACCAGCCAATGGTGGTCGACCAGTAGCTATGCCACTCCCGACCACAGGTACAGGCGCATACCGACCAGCTGAGGACGCAGCACCACTATAATAATGCACTTGTGGCGCACTCTTTGGTAATGGATACTCATTGAACTTTTGTTCCATTGACTGTGTCAACGCCTCAGCATGCGGCATTTGTGATGCTGCCGCTTCGGAATGGTCAAAAATGACGCGTGCGTACTCATCCCTCATTTCTTTGCTGCTACTTATGCTCTGAGTTTCAGCTAAATCCTCATCGACTGCCGGCGAAACAAAGAATTTTTGTGATTCCGCTAGGCGGCGTTGAACAGCGCTGGGTGTGGGTGGCAAGGTCGGCGCTGGTTGCTTGCCTTCTAAACGTTCAGCCTTTGGTACAAATGCACGACGTTTTGCTTGTTGTTCCTGTCTGCGTTTAATCTCATCAGGTAAGCATATGGGACGCACGTGATCGGAAAAGTTTATTGGCGTCTCGAGACGTATCAATGCAGCTGTAGAGCCTTCCACTGGACTCTTTATCAAGCCAATAATGCGGCGACGCTGAGTCCATGGCGCGTTCGATGAAAGCCGCACTGCGCCGAATATGGCCATCCATGTGGCCCGTGGTTGACCTTGAAAGCAGGATTCAGTGGTGAGAACCCAGTCGCGGGAAATCTACAGAGGGTGGGGGAGAGAAAGAGAGTAAGGAATAGTAGTTTATATCCAAAATCAAGGCTAACTTTTTAAGGACGTACCAGCGTTCCATCGCAAACATGTATATCCTCACGATATAGCGCTACCAACCAAGGCCAGTCACCGGGTGAAGACATTTTGGGCAACGATAAATACTGCTTGGGCGATAAAACCGACTGCACGCCGCACTGGAGCTCACCACAGCCCACATAGAGTACCTGACGCTTCTGGCAATGGGTGCGTATGAAGGAGATCTCCGGTGCATGTGGATCGAGCACGCGCACATAATCTTCCACGTTTTCGGTATCGTTGCGCACTTCAAATATTTCCACAGATCTAAGAAAAAGATTAAGTTTGTTGTTTTATAAAAATAAGGGTGGAATAAAAAATTTTACTTACTCATAGCCGAGTGATTTGCAAAGCGATTCTGCCACAGTTTGTCGTACTATCAGTTTACTATCATTCTCGAGACCCTCTGCGCATAGTTTTCCTACAATACCCTTTTCGGAGAACACCGCGAAACCTTGAGAGTGAAAGCGTGGCAAATAAGGTACCATTGGCTCTGGTTTCAGAAGATCGGCAGCAAATGGAGCTATTGCAACTGGTGGAGAGTGGAAGAGAAATGTTTACCTACAAACATGTTTTTATTAGATTATTTTTCTTAAATACTTACGGCAATCTTTTTCATCAGACCCATCCGGACAGTCTGCTTTACCATCGCAACGCGCCTTACGCGCCACACAAGCGCGCCCTCGCCCACAATACAATGCGTTGCCCGTGCAGAATGTACAGGTGCGTTCGTCGGAGAAATCTGGACAATCCACGAAACCATCACAGAGCCGTGGACTTTGTGCATTATTCTGCAAATCATGCGCGCAATGCGGCTTGTGATGACAACTCTGTATGCCCGTAGACTCAGGAAAAGTTTCACAATCGAAAAATTGCTTGAAGCGCGCAGGCAATCGACTACCGCAACCCTTCATGAAAAGCTGGCAATACTCACGACACATAATGCCCGCCGTAGGTTCGAGAGTACCGTGTGTATCGCATGGTGGCTGCAGTAGGCGACAAACAAAGTCGAAAGCCTCACGAAAACACTCTGCATCGACTAATTCACGAAATGCTATGACATCGGCTTGCACTTCCTCGAATGAGTGATGACCCAAGAGGTTTGGATAGGTTGTAATGTTATAGCCGATCGAGCGGCAGTAGTTCAATTTAAGCGGCTCACAACGACGAGGTGGCTTGGGTGTGGTGGTAATGACCTCGGTAGTCTCGTCTTCACCGCCAAGTGGTGAAGAAGACATGATGGGCTCCTCAATCAGGCCAGTTACCTCTTTGATGGTTAAACTTTGTGGATCTATCGTCATGTTGGCAAAATATTTGCGATTCGGTGAGTTTATCTCCTCTGCGAAGAGTGCTAAGAGGTCCGCCGTAGACACAAGACCCGCATATGGGTCGAATATAAGGTTAAAATGTACGACGACCTCATTGATGTCCTCGGTGCTAAATTTTTGTAAAACATTTTCAAATTTCAAGGCGCACAAAAAATGCAAGTCGTAAATTTACCCATCTAAAGCCAATATTTCACTGCCTTCGTAAGCTTCACGTAAATCAGAGCGCCTTATTATCAGATTAATGCGTTCCCGGAAATCGCGTGCCTTATGATTAAATCTCAAAGAATTTTGATCCACCAGCTCCATAGACCATTTGTCGTTCATGACCAAAAATTTTCCACGGAAAGTCCGATCCGGCAGTGGTTCAGGGCGGAAATATGTATCTAGAAGACGGCAATGACACATTAATTAAAAGAATTAACTATTTTTATTAGGGTGGTCCTAAATACCAATAACTAAACTTTATACATCACAAAAATTTGGCAAAACTTGTTCAGATAAATTCTAAAACTCGCTGAGTTATAACTGGTCAAAGTAAACATTTTTTCGAATTTTTGCGATTAAAAAACAAAAACATTATTTCTTCAAACACTGTTTTTTTTTAATTTTTAAATTTTCGTGGAAGTCTTTATTTCTTACGTAGAACACTATAATTTAGTTAAAACTGCGTCACTTACATCCCACGTACACGAATGCGCCAGCCACTAGAAGGGCGACTAGAAAACCCGCTATCACAGCACAGCCGCACTTCTGACTATCGCCCAATTTACGCCGTGTAAAACGTATATCTGAGTCTGTAGATAGCACTGATTCCGATTTACGTCGATGTCCGCCGCCATTCGTGTGTGCGTGATTGTGTCCATGTCCGTGTGCGGGTGGATTGCCCAATTGATGGTGGCACAAATCGGTGAGGCTATTCGCCGTCGCACCGTTCGCCAAACCATTACTACTGCTGTTGTTATTATTGCCATTGCTGTTGCTATTGCTGCCACCATTGTGGCTGTGATTGTGATGTGGTTTGTGGTGGCGGGCGCAGCGCGCGTTGTGAAAGACCTTTTGTGGCTGCGCTGGTACGTTTAAGCCATTTCCGGTTGAATCGCGATGACCATTCGGATTGCATTGGACACCCTGAAAAATCGAAAAATTGGAGATTTAAATCTATGAATTTACTATACGCAGAGTTGTTCGTTTTAGACATAATGTTATATACGTAAATATGTACATATGTATATGTCTGCATTAGACCGCACAACTTTACAAGCAAACAAAAAAATTTCGCTGCACACCCTGATTCTAAAGTATGTACTTATGTATATAGTATATATATAAGTATATTATTCTATATATCAAAATCTTGTCTAGTACACCAACTCGGCTTCACGCAAACTTGTAAATTCCCATTCACTTTCAATGACAACTACACCTGCTGTGCGGAATGTTGCCGCCGGGTGCTGCTGGGTAATACGAGTAAGACACAAATAAATGCTCCATCAACTGCTGCCCTCACGCTCAACCAATCAAGAATTTGTGTATTGGCGACCAGAAACGCGTTCTTAGCTCAAGGTTGACTGCCTTGCAGCATCAACAGTTCAATTCAATTCGGCAAACAACTATTCTTTTTGCAATGAAAGAAATAAATACCAATCAACTCGTATACATAGTACTATGTAGTCCGAGTGATTATGGTTACTTGCGATCATTTAGATCGTGTAAATTTTATTTGTTTATTTCTATACATATTTCATGAGTTCAAAGCTTGAATAACGGCGCTTAACCTGATACCAATAGCATTGTGTATTCAAATTATAAAATGAAAAGAAGCCATTAAAATTAAACTACATAATTGACTTTTTGAGCTCGTCAAGCATTAAGGCATTTAATAACCAATTGACCAATAGCATTTTTAACTAAAAATAATGTTAACGTTCACAGACGCCTCCCAGTCGCGTCTTCGATAGAAATCGAAAGCGATTGCACCATTTATTTGATAGCCGAAGGACATTTTCGGTAGAGTTAACGAGTTTAGTTGGATTCTCTAGATGGCGGTGGGGTCGAGACAATCGTGCATTGGTGTCGGGTTTCGCTCATTTTCAAAACAAAATCCAGATCAGCAGATGAAACATTTTGACAAAAATACCCGTGTCATTATAGTTGCGATCCCGTACGAGTCCGGACTAGTCAGAATCAGTCAGATTTTACTGGAAATCGTTCCCGTACTCGGTTCTCTAACCATTGAAAGCACAAAAAGAGAGTAAATAAGATCCTCTCTTTGCGAGAAGTTACCAGTTTAGTCTGAAGATTTTTTGCTGATAAATTCTGGTAAATGTGTCAAACGAACAGCTGTGGTGTGTTTGGCAACCAAATTGGTAAACAAAAGAAAAGTGCACTCTGCTAATTCATGTGGAATTTGAAAGTATTTTTGGTTATTTACATGTGTGAGCTGAGTGTGTTTACATACAAAATAAGCAAAAATGTACAACCAAAATTTGGAGGTTATGTTGAAGTTGACAGAAGTTACCATTTTTTACCAGAAAGCGTACCCGTGCTTTTCAATGTTACTCTCTCGCTCTGAGCGAATTTTTATTTGTTGACAGTTTTACTAGTTTTAGTCCGAGGAATACGGGATTGCACCTTATATTTATACATACATTGTATTTATTTAGAAAAAATTTTAACAAAGTTAGTTGATAGCGTAACACTACCCGGGTGGACGTATCCATATCTCCGCAATTGGTGGTGCAAGAAACTAAAAGTGGCCGACACTATTATAGCTTTAGGGGGACTGCTACCCGCTCGCAGGTAAGGATCAATACCCAATGTTGAAACCGAGGGCTCATATCGAGAAATTCCCACCACAAATGTATGCTAACTTGGTATGCAGATTGCAGCCGAGGCTGGGCTCCGTGTGGTCTACCCATGACACCCACTGCATTCACAAGGTCGGAATAGAGGCGAGACCCAGCTGCAGTGGGCTTCCGCTAATTTGTTTCTCCCGAGAAATAAATCCTCCAATAATTAACTCCCAGGGAGTATCATTTTCCCCGAAAATTTGGGAGGAGAAAATTCGAACTTGGCCAGGGCTGTTTGACACTTTTTTGACAGTTCAACTCCGACATTCAATATAAAAAATGTTTATTCGTAATAGGAGGAAAGGGAAAAGAGAGAAAACTCGCAGGGAGTTTCTGTTCAGAATCGGCCTGATAAACAAAAAAATTGCAAAAAAAAGAAAGGAATAATTTTGAGTTAAAAATATTTTAAAGTATTTTTTGGTGAGATGCATAGTTTCTGAGAAAAGATATCTTTGGTATTCGAAATTTTTATTTTTTAAGGTGTAAACTTCGCGGGAAGAAAATTCGCTGCCAAAATTAGAGCACACTGCAGTATATGAGATTGCACACAACCAAAGCTGCAACGAAGTTCGTCTGATGAAATTCAGCGAGAATAGATTTATTTTTAGTTTTGCCGCTGCCGTCCGGCACAAAATCAGTTGTCAGAGATAATATAGCTTTGTTTCTCCACATTACTAGCAGATAATTATCCGGAATGGGCAAAATGGGAAAATTTGCGGATTCATTTTTTGTTTTTGGTCTTTTTTTATTTTTATTTGTCATTCAACTGAGGCGTATTCTGTTTCGGTTTTGTTACTAGGCGAAATGTTGTGGCGAATATCACCCGACGGCATCGCTCCGTCCGACGAAATTCGCTCGGCGATTCGGTCCTGTTTATACTTTTAAGTAAATTCTAAAAATCGAAGATATTTTTTAGCTACTGCAATGTTGCCTTTTATTAATCCGGAATTTAATGGGTATAAAACTGCATACTCGAAAATTTTCTAAAAATCTTAATAAAATATGTGAAACTTAGTTTGAACGTTGTTGATTTTTTAGCCTTTTGTTATAGACTAGAACTATATTTTTATAAAAAAAACAGTTTTACGCCTACTCCGAACGGCGATTGTATTTTTAGGAGAAGCTGTTTTTATGGCAGAAATATACTCGGAGCACAGCGCTGTGCGAGCGGCCAAAAAAAAAATAAATTGTGTTGTCCCAAATATAGACGTAATTTGTGTTGCTGGAAAGGTAATTTATTCATTAACAATGCCCCGGTCCCAATATTTGTATAAAATTAATAATACACAGCAAAAAACCCTCAAAGTTGACGGATTTTAGGTCAAATATTTTAGTCAGAGCCACATCACTTTTAGGCTCTACACGGAAAAAAGTGCTAGTATTTGTTGAAATATTTTAAACGATTCGCTGAGATAATGAAGAAATCATGCTATTGCATGTCTCAAAATATTTAATGATAGTGTGATATTCAATTAGCCAATCTGCATTTAACAGAAAGCCGCAGCAACAACAAGTTGAACCAGTGGCCGAAGGAAAAACTTACATATTTTATGTATGCATGGCATAAGCATAACTTATTTCTGCCCCAGGAATCTCACTTAACTTTCCTTTCTATATTTAGGTAATGTACAAATAACTACTCTAAAACCCCATCTGCATGGAAAAATACCGATTTCAACTAATTTTGGCATCCTTGTTGTTTCCGTAGTGAAGGAAAGTCTTAGATACTTAGGGAATTCACAAGACGTGTTAACCGTCGTAAAATCTTAAGCTTAACACTTGTTTATGTAAAATAGCGGTTAAAATGGTTGGGGGGTTGGCTAATTATATATTCTTTATCAGTTTAAAAGAATTTCGGTTTAGTTAGAAATCCCCTAAAACCATTTTAATTAAAAAAGATGTTAACCTTAAGATTTTACGACGGTTAACACGTCTTGTGAATCCCCTAAATGTTTAAGTATTTTTAACCTAGCTGAAAGTCAGCGTATTTATAGTGGTTAGGAATTTTTAAAAATTTAGAAAGTTGATCAGAAATAATGTTATTATTTTATTTTTTAGTTAGTGGTCTGTTTCTGGACTTATATGTATACATATTTGCATACGCATTCCTATGCAATATACGCACGCTAACGCTTGGAGAAAAATGCAGCAATATCCGAATACAGAGACCAATAATTACAAAAATAACCACAAATCAAACTTAAAAGGTGAATAAGACAATCCTTTTTTACAACTCACCACATAATATCGCAAGACAAGTTTACCAGTGATGAAAAATATCCCAATTGCAATTTTAAGTGCTGCGCGTCTAGATTTTCTTAAATACGTTTTTGATGCACATTTTATACTGCTTGGTAACAGCAGGCGATATCGTTTACTGTATAGACAGTGATGTGCATATATGTATGTACATATAATAAGTGCTTAGGAGTATGCAAACCTAAAGTACAAAGTTTAGAGACGATAACGCATATCCATATACGACGAAGGCCGTTTGACAAGTCAGTGACTTTTGGAATGCAAGACATTTTTGGAAAAATTTAAAAATTAGTTAGTATCGTTTCAGTCCCATATACATAATCCAAATTTTCTTCCAATTTTGTATCCCTGCCAAATATGTAATATTTCGATTTCCTTAAGATCTTAAATAGCCTCTAAATGCGACCAAAACTTCTTGCCGACGAGACACTGCTTCAAGTTTGGAACCAGCAGTTTGTAGCTAAATCTACGATTAGGACAGGAAATGCACTTTTTCCATTTTCTTCGAGAATCACAAGGTTGCCTGCTGGCTGCAACATACAAACTACATAGTTATGGCGATTTCGTTTCTACAAAAAGTGTTGCCTTTTCATTGCCCTCTTCTTAGTGTTTGTGCGAAGAGGGCAGAGAGAAGGTTGCATTTTTCGGTAGAAACGAAATCGGTATTAGACAGCGCAGTTTACCTAAAATTTTTTCAATACCTAACAAGTGGTTGTTGAAAAGAGCAGTGTTTTATTTAAAATTATTATACGTAGATATATTTCAAACAACTATCTACTGACTTTTTAAACTGCCCTCGTATATGCGTGTAGGTAAGTACGTACATATGTTTGTAATCTATGAATGCAATGCTTGTTGTATACATCGTCTGAAAACCAGAAATGCAGCTACCAATTATCGCCTTTTGAAACATGCCTCCATCTCATGAAATGCCTCTTAATACAAAGCTATTGTTGTTGTGATGATTGGCGTGCTCAAATTCAATAGAGTAGACTTTTGCTTTTTCACAATTTAAAACAA